CCCTCTCTCCCCCCCCCCCCCCCCCCACCCAAGGGGTTAGGGTATGGAGACGTTTGGCATTTCAGACTATTGCTGACCTAAAGAAGGCAATAGTGGTGTGTTGTTCCCGTGAATTTTGAGATTCATTACATGCGTATTTGTCAGTTACTGAACACGAGGTTTTAGGCCCAGGCCAAAAGTCGGTTTTTCATGAGACGAAACAAAATTGAAAAGTTTGACGTCTGGCTCAGTTAGGTTCGTCTGAATGAGTTTAGATCGTCCAATACGTTTTATCCGTCTGCTTCAGACGGATAAAACATGGACAGTTGATTTTGTAGACTTTAGCTAGTCTGATTGCCTCGCTCGTTAACAGCATGTCAAAGAAAGGCGACTTGCGGGCAAGTTTTTGGAGAAACTCCGCGGCATCTTCGCCGCACTCGATCGCCGCGTACGCTAGCGAAAACCTCTGATACCAAGTGTGACTCTTGTGAGGTGAACTGATTAACGTTCTTCCATATTATTAAACTATACATTGTCTCTTTAAGGAGGGGGTGGGGGAAATCACTTTCACTCCTATGATTAATATCTCAAGCATGAACAGATAATTGTTGCGGGCGACAAGAGGAGCCAGCAATCCTAATCTCCAGGTTGTTATTGCACATGCGTCGCATGAATGCAGCCAGCATTCATTTGGACTTCCACTAAGAATGAAGGGAGTGCACAGAACGCATTTTGATCACGCTCGTCACTCGTAATCTGATCACGCGTGTTTTGACTATCTGTCACGTGAAACTTACGCAAAGCACAGCGATGGAGTAAAAGCATTTTGACGTCCGATCGTTTTCGCCTGCACTCCCTCTAGTGAGCACACGCAGAGATCAAGACTTGGGTGTAAAATTTATTAAAACCCTAATTTTTTTCCAACCCACCCTTCGCGTTGGCGCCTTTGTTCACTCAAACGCGTGAAAGGGTTACACAACCTGTGGACTTCTACTATATTTCAAGCTAAAATGCAAAGTTACCAATTTGTTAACGAGAAATCAATGCCGTTACCACGGTAATCTTAGAAGTCGATTCTGTGGTAAATGTCCTTTAAAAAAATGGATGACAACTTCAGTTGTCCTAAGGGTAATTTTGCTTGGTTGTCAAAAACAAAACAAAACAAAAAAACAAGGAGAAAAAAAGGCACAAGAAGAAAGAGGGGAAGTGAGAAGAAGAACAAATAGTAATGGTTGAACTCTCAGTTCCTTAAAATGGGCACTTCACAGGAAGGAAAATGGGCAAGTAACACTGAAGGACCAGCTCTCCAGCTAATATCTAATTTAATGCATGAATCAACAAATAGAGCAATACACTGAAAAATATATCAAACAATACATGAATGAATAAATAAATAAATAAATAGAATTAACAACACTGGTTCAAAATCCCGGTGAAAAATGCTACCAGCAAAATTGTGAATTCGCATAAAAATATTTAAATATCAACTGAGAAGCTATAAATAACACGCTTTATAGATGAATATGTATTAAAAAATGGTTTGATTGTGCTTTTCCATTACGATGCTTTGTCAATTACATTTTCAAGGAAGCAATGAAACTACCATAAATGGTCAGTTCTGATTGGCAAAACACCTACAGAAAGGGTCAGAAAGTTGTTGAGAAAATGCTTCTAGAGTAATGACAAAAATACGGAAAATTAACTGCAAAATTCCTTTAACACATTCACACAAACAAACTCGTACGTACCCGATGTATCAATGATGTGAAGCTCGTAAGCTTTGTTCCTGTGAGTCATTTGTTTCACGTAGAATTCCTCTACAGTTGGTTCATGCTCGGCATTGTAGTCATCGCTAACGAGAAGCCGTCGAACAATTGAACTTTTTCCAACTCCAGAATCGCCAAACACAGCAATGGTAAACTTCTTGAAATACACTGTTGGCTCTGACGATTCATTCTCGTCTAATGTGTTTATCATTCTTACTTTTTCAAGGAATGCACTTTTCAAGGTGACTTCCAAAACCCCTGAACCAAGCCAGAATCGTTACGCTACTTTCAATAGCTGTCGACAGTCTATAGGTTAAACAAATACCGAAGATGCAATTGACTGTAATGTTATACGTGCCCGATATACCAACTTACATCATCAATACGAGAACTCGATGAAATCTGACTTTGTGGTCTAACCGACAAGAGGGGTAAAGACAATAAAAGCAGTCTAGTGGAAAAAACCTCTAAACTTGAGAACACGAGGTTACAGCCATTTAGTTGGTTTTCCTTATCCAATAGTCCAAGTTGATTAAAACGGGCGATATATAATTACCTTGATGAATAAAAAATATAAACAATGGCTCTATTACTCTACCTTGAATGTATGTACGTGTATTACTATGCCTTCTTCTTGTTATAATGAAAATAATACTATGAGATTAGCACAGTTCAAAAGTGATCAAATTCCAGTTGGCTTCGCCCTGATTGATACACCAAATTTAGGGCCGTTCGGTACTTATGGTTCGGCAGGGGATCCAAGTGTAATATAAGATTTTGTACGGGTGATACCTGTAAACTCTTAAAAAATTTACAAAGAAGACTCGAGTAACGAGGCCTGGTGTCGTTTTGTGTCTTTCAAAGAGGTTTCAGCGCTATTTATAGTTGAGCGTATGGCAGCATCTGACCTAACAGTGTAAAAGATAATGGGCGGATTAAGAAGGGGCTGCACTGCCTCCTCACCTTGTCTAGCTAGCATTGCATTATGATCGAATTTAACTGAAAATTCTTTTGGCCTTTTTCTTCTGAACTTCCCGAATCCGCCCTTAGTAATAAATCTATCATTACGTCGTGTAAGTTGTATTTCACCCGGAGCGTACTCCCTTATATGGCCTACGCAGGGATGTGCACTGGACAGGGTATGGTTTTTTACTTTTCTGTCCTAAACAGGTTACATAATTTCGTGCGAGTCTGTTAAAAAGGTATATCCTGCAAGATTGATTTGATTTCTTAAAAGAATACAATGATTATAACGTGAGTTTACTCTATTGCATTCGCCAATACATGTAAATGACTTTAAAAACAACACAGCGTGCATTTTGTCCTTTGTCCTAAACAGGGTAATAACATTGAAGGTGTTGCCCTGAACAAGGTATGTATTTTAGTTTTTTTTTTTTCTCCGAGACAGGGTCAGCGTTTCAAATCCTCACCAGCTCACCTATACCCAAATACTGGTCTAGTACCCCTTCGGGTATTTCTTCAAGCTTAGCCTATCTGTGATCACAAGGGGGACGAACTAAGGTTCCACTAAATAATAATACTAATAACATGCAATAGGAGACCAGCCTTGAAGATGATTCACACGTCCATGATACTGCTGTGCGTGCATAATAGGGCCCGGTTTTCGGTTAAGTTTAACCCAGGCGGCACTAAGCCAATTTTAAGGAAAGGTCTCTTCTCTAGCAACATTTAACCGTAGGTAAAAAAGAAATAGCTATCGAGGAGCGTTTACTTCGAGGTCCGGTTTTGAAAAACAAAAAAATCCTTTAAAAGTATTCATACGAAGGTAAATACTGAAATACATGATAGATTAACATTTTAATCCAGGACCAGCCCTAGTCAGTCGGCCTTTTAGCGGCGGGGCCCTGATACCTACAGTTTATCCACTATCTTTAATCTGGGGTCATTGGGCTGTTGCAATCCTGCTAAGCTCTTAGATTGCTCCAGAGAAATTTCGTCAAAAAAGAGGCCATTTCTGCTGGTTTGTGGGCATGTTACTCCATAACGGTCACTATCATGATGTTGACTTGCAATAAAGTGTTTGACAGTGCAGATCTCCTAAATGAATGATGAATAAAAGAAACATCAGTTTCATAGTCTGGGAGCAAATGTGGTCCCGTGTGAAGTTCGTGCTGAAAGCAAGCACCTAGTGTAATAGTGTTCATTAGGACCTACTAAACTTGAAAAGTTTTGGTGCCAGCTTTGCAACTTGCTCAGACGGCTTTTAAGGGCGGTTAAATTCTGACCCATGAAATCCAGCATGGAAACGAGGCTAAAACACATAACTCCTCATAACTTTGTTAATAATAGACGAAAAGACACCAAACTTGCTCACATGATTGGACATGATCCTCCCTGTTGATTTATGCTAATTTACGTAGGTCACGTGACCTTACGCATGAAAGCGAGGCTAAAACACATAATTTTCCATAAATTAGTCCAAAAAAATCCTTATCATGCCAAACTTGCTCACCTTAGTCAGTTAGACATCTTGCATTGATTGGTGCCACTTTGTAGTGTCACGTGACCCCATACATGGAAACGAGGCTGGATATATCTGGTAGCATCGTGTAGGATGGCATTTGTCTTGCCAAATGTATTAACAACTACTAGGCAGATACATATCTGGTTATCCGAGTTCAGATATAAAAACTTCAACTAATCATTGTCCTATGGCCCATAGCACAGGGACGAGACGGATAAAGCAAATACTGCGGAGCCTCCATTTGAGAATCTATCTTGTACACATAATCAATAATTTTGCCAACTTATGATACTGGTTCCATGTATTCATTTTCGCATGTATATTGGAACAAGGGCAGAAAATGAAAATAACGACAACTGCTATTTTATACATACAGTCATGAAAGTCTTACTGAATATCTATATATATTGTTCTGTTGTTCATTCCTATGGAATTTCCTGTTCGACTTCGTCTTCATCATACTCATCATCGCTCTCAGCATACTCGTTCTGGCAATCTTCAGAGCACAGACAGAGATCAGTACAGACAAGTCCGGCTTTTTGACGCTGACAACGGTTGTTAGAGCAACGGGACTTGGCGCACTTGCATCGGAAAAGCTGTCTAATTCCCTCTGGAGCTGGTGGAAGATTTGTCATGACTGGTACCCACTTTCCATCTTCATCTTGCCATCCATAGCCTTCTGGTAAGGGCAACACCGGGTTTGCTACATGATCGTTGTTCTAAACAAGAAGCTGGTAGTGCGCTCTCAGTATGGCTTGATGGAGAGCAGCTTGTGTGGGCGGCAACCTCTCAGACTCAGCTTGATTTTTGTTAAAGAGGGACCATCTGAGGGCTTTCACAGTTTTGATGTCTGTCTTTGGTTGGTACATCCGACAAACCAGCTGTTCCACTCCACTTGTGCCGTCATCTGGCTGTTCCCCACAACCAAGGTTAGCAAGAGCTTGCAAGATAAGAGTGCTGGCGTTATCAAACTCATCCCAACAAGTGGCTTTTCCCTTTCCAGAGAAACTGCCAGTAACATCTGCTCCGGTCAACGCATGAAATGCTCGCAGCGCAGCCGTCTTAGTGGGCCCAAGGGCGTCTGCGATTGACTTCAAGTTGATAACTCTATGACTACTGCCGGCCCCAGTAACAAAGCAAGAGTTCGAGCACAAATCTGGATACCGTCGGAGAGCCAAAACAAGAACATCAGTGTCAGGAGAATATATAGAGAGTTGGGTAGCAGTAGCACCTTGAGCAGAGGCATCCAGAGCATGTAAAATAATCTTCGTGTCGGCTTCTTCTTGTGTACTTCGTAAATGCCTGACGTCTCTGTGCGTTGCCTCACATTCCGTTCCCCATGCCACAACGACTTGTCTCCCATTAGCATTATCCTTCACATTCTTTGCGAGAAACGTAGTAAGTTCGCCCTTGGTCGAACAAGAAGCAAGAAGAGAGAGGCAAGAAGCTTCTTCATCGGCACCTTGGCGATGTGGGTAGAATCAGTGATGCGATAATAAATGGGAGCATGGCCACCTTGTCGTTTGACTCGTGCTGCTGATTTTAGTGAGGATGGTACATCATATCTGTCGAAGATTATGTGGAGCTCTTGTAAATCATTATACTTTACAAGCAAGCGATTCGTGAAATGTTCAGCCAAGTCTCTACAGTTCTTGATCCACTCTGGCTTGTCAAGTGATTGGACTTCGGCCATTCCATCAACAATCGCGACTTTGAATCCTGCGGTGATTTCTTGTGTATTAGTACTAGGGCCACCTGCCTTCTCTAGGATATGCATAAGGGCACTCTTGCAAGAACAATGCAACATGGTACCATCTCGTGCAAACAAAGATCTTGGGACAACAGTGAACTCATATAAACCAACAGCCTATTGGATGTCAATTTCTGGGCGGCTCTTGCACACCATCGCCAAACGAGCAAACAGATTTCTGTCCTCCTTTAACTCGATGATCGTGTCTTTAGCTTTGATTTTGATGACCTTAGCACTCGTTTCCCAGGTAAGAAGATTGCGCTTCTTTACAGGAGCCCAGAGGTTGATCTTTCCTGTCTTGATCCTATTTTGTACAAAAGCACTGAATAGCTTTCTCCCTTCTTAACTCTGATCAACAAGATCTTTCTTCGTTTTCTCATTCATCACAAATTTTGTGACCAAGTTGTACAGATCGGTGTTGGTGTTCTGGTCTGATGAAAAGGGATTGGTGAAGGTCTTGATTGTCTCAGTCAACTTATTTATGCTGTTATCTTCGTGCGTCAAAACAGCTGAGTTTAGTTCTTGATGGTGTGCACGTTCCGGAACGAGACCCGCCATTGCCTTGGCTTCTGCTGTGAGTCGGGCTAGTTCTGGGGCAATGAGGAAAAACGTGGCTCGTGCGCTCTCATTCAAAGTGATCCCTACAAGTCCACCAGAAACTTTCATAGATCGATTGAGGTGTTCCAACGCAGTATCACCACCAACAGCACAGAAGGGAACCTCCTTGTTCTTGTTCACTACCCAGTTTCCTGTGATGAACTCTCCATAGATTTCGGGGTCTGATGATTCGATGGATGCCATTTCAGCTAGAGTACTCTTCCCGTCCGGCGTATCCTCTGAGAAATCGATATTATCAATAGCAAAATATACGTGCCGTCCTTTCACGATATCCGGAGGGAGAAACATGCCACCTTCACTCTCTATGCGCTTCAGGACAGTTTTCTCAATTTGTGACTCCACCCTCAACAAGCGATTGTACTCTACAGCCATGCCAAATCCATGGAGGAGATTAACCAGCTCTTTGCTTCGTACTGCTTGGTGTATTGCTAGGCTAACTGCGAGGTGTTGGGGCATTTCTCTAGTGCAGTAGACCGCTTTTGACCTCTTATTGTCAACCTGCCTGTCCGTTAGACACAAAGCTATTGTATTCTGCGCTAATTGCATTGCTCTTTTGTGTACCTCATTGCACTTTTTATCAGATAGTGTCTTATTGGGACCTTGGATTATCCACCTAAAGTAGCAGGTAAGCTCTTCGGGGCAGTGATCATGTGTCATTGTATCCAGAGAGCAAGAGAAGACCCATTTCTCGCTTCGATTAATAGCCTTTCTCAGTATTGAAGCGGCATCGAAGAGAGTTTTCATAGATTCATCACTGTCAGCTGTGGACTCTACGATATGGATAGCGGCATCTCTACACTGCTTTACGCTGACCCTCTCGGGCTCATTAGCTCTAGTGGGCTTATGGAACTCAACTCCCTTTATCTCTTTCTGGATAAGCTCTTTAACTGAACATCGACTTAGAGTCTTTGGACTATTGTTCTCGTTTGAAATGGAATCAAAAGCCTGTTTCAACTGTGCCATGTTGAGTATTTCTTCCTTATAGAGGGCAGCTTGGATAAGGTTCAAAAACTCCAGCTTAGCCGCTGTCTCACTTCTTGACCTTTCCTCGTCATCTTTGATAGTTTCACGCAGGACCCCAGTCACATGCTTCGCCCAGCAGCTTTTATGATATTTAATATCAATGGCATGAGCGTCAGTGCTGTCTAGAGCCGTCGAGAGCTTCACGAGCAGTTTAGGATCCTGTGATTGCTTTACTGCATTATCAAGAGAGCTACCAGCAGATGATGTTGACACCAAATGCAGAGGGTTCTGGTACTTCGCTTTCTCTTCACAAAAGAAGCACAGATTGCTGTCATAAGGGACGGTTTTCGACCTTGTAAGAAGACCCTGGTTAGTGAAATGAAATGAAATGTTTTGGGATGTCAAGGATGTCATTACCTTTTCAGCGATTCCAAGATGAAAAACACAATAAAATAAAAAGTTAAAGTTATAAGCCATTACACCTAGCAATTACCTGAAGCGATTCACTTGTCTTTCTTCGAGCTTCATTTGGCCCTCTAACCTCTCTCTGAAACCTCTCTTTTACCCTCTTGATCTTTCGTGAGTGGGTGGTTTCTTGGTAGCACGACCTATGCCATGTTGCTTTTTCTTTAAGCTCTTCTAGTGGTAGATCTTTAAGCACAAGCCACAATGTTTTCGAGTTGATGTCCTCGTACTTTGAACGTTCTTCGATGGTTTCTAAAAGCTTTTGATGGGAAGTTGGATTTTCAACAAGATTGGCTGTACTTTTTTCTTGGCAGATTACACATAGCTTAAAATCTAAAGGGGCATTAGACCGGCCAAAATCCGTCATACCACAAGCACTGTGATGACTGTAAGTACAACATGGCGGACACTCAAATAATTACCGCTGACCAATAGTTCAGGCTCACAATCACCCAGGCCCCCTAGGTTAAGAATCGACAGGAATTTGTGCGAAATAGGATTGTAGAAATCGCTCATAATAAAGTTGTATAAGCCACACGAAATACATTATCATTACACCTTTTTAGCTTTTAATTTTTTTCATTCAAATGCTATACATACAGCATTAATATGCATTACAATGAGTCAACGTTATTGTCCTGGATGATGTGTTCACCTTTGGCGTGTTTTGCAATCCAGCCTCATTTCCATGTATGGGGTCACGTGACACTACAAAGTGGCACCAATCAATGCAAGATGTCTAACTGACTAAGGTGAGCAAGTTTGGCATGATAAGGATTTTTTTGGACAAATTTATGGAAAATTATGTGTTTCAGCCTCGCTTTCATGCGTAAGGTCACGTGACCTATGTAAATTAGCATAAATCAACAGGGAGGATCATGCCCAATCATGTGAGCAAGTTTGATGTATTTTCGTCCGTTATTAACAAAGTTATGAGGAATTATGTGTTTTAGCCTCGTTTTCACGCTGGATTTCATGGGTTAGAATTTAACCCCCCCTTAAAAGCCGTCTGAGCAAGTGGCAAAGCTGGCACCAAAACTTTTGATGTTTAGTAGGACCTAATGAACACTTTTACACTAGGTGCTTGCTTTCAGCACAAACTTCACACGGGACCTTATTTTATGACATTTGCTCCCAGACTATCACAGGAAAAGTCAATCGCGTGTCGTTTCTATAGACTCGCTTCCAAGCTCCCGCGTTGAAAAGGAGACGGAGAACCTGTCGATCGTCACCGGCTCCTTCCACATTGTTTGATGTGGGTTGGAAATGGCTAGTCTTTCAACATGTGAATGTTTGAAACGCAGGAAATTTTCTTGAATATTGCTTAAGGAAAGCAGGAATATGTTATCTTTAGTGGCAAAGAACTTGCTGTATATACACAGTATGTGAGCATTCTAATTAGCATTAATTACAGTAGAGTAGTCCAAGGTTAATTTTTTGCCCCGGAATTAAAAATATTACGCCCTTGAATCATGTAATATTGTTCGAGAAAAAGAAAACGGATTTCCTGTGGATCTATCAACTGTGAAGTGTTACAAATTAAGTAAGTGATTATAATAAGCTCCATCCGCGGCTTCTTGCTTGAAGTCAAAGTTGACGATTGATTTACTAGGCTATAGCCATTACAAAAATGGGTGTTACATATTTTTTTGTTACTATTTTATCGCTATGCGAAGTTTAGACGTGAGGGTATTTTTACAGCTGCAGTCGCAAACATGTTTCATATGTTCCTTCACTGAAGAGTTATCAACGCACACCTTTTATTCCGTTTTGCTTTTTTCTTTTTCAAGTTTTACCGTTATGATTGCCCCCCGCTTAATGAAACATCAGTTACACTTTAAAATTCTTAGTCATGCCACCGCTGGAAAAAGAGGTTGGGAGAGAGAACAGCTGCTATCCTAAACTGAACTGTCATACGCCTCCACCCACTGACCCACGGGGGGCGCGGGAGACAGAGAGACTCTCTCTCTCTCCCGCACCACCACCCCCCCCCCCCCCCCCCCAGGGGGCGGGGGGGGGGGGCGTTTTGAATTTTAAAATTTTCTCTCACCAAAAAAAGAAAATGGGGGTGTTTTTTCCCCGAAATTTTTGGTTTTCTTTATACTGGTTTTGTTAGGTTTTCAAAA